TGCATTCAATATGTACCATTCATACCGTAAACCGTTCATCAGAAAACAAAGCCAAAAAGAAATATACATATGTATGTGTGTAAAAATAAACACTTTTAGATTTGGATACAGATGGTGAAGAAATTCTAGAACCAGAAAACAGTTTAGATGCCAAAGTAAAGTGTGAAAAAGACGAAATCAGTAGTCCGATAGATAAGTTGTATAACATGCAGTCCACCTATTTTGCCTTCTCCTGATCGCAGCTTCACCTCATCCCAAATGCTTGTCGTAGTTTTGCCGATTGATGCTCACAGTACAACCGTAATCGTTCTTCGACATTTTGCTATTTTGGTTTAATGTAAAAAGACCAAGAATCCAGTGTTTAGATGAAATCTGAACTGATGTTTCGAACATTTTTAAAATTATGTTTACAAAAAAAAATTTTTTTTATGATTTGGTGTATTTTTTATTGTTCATATGGAAGCCTTACTTTGCAACTGCAGAACTTTTCCTTTTTTTCGATTAAACAATCATTAACATTTTCCAGTAAGTAGGTCCAGGTATGTTACAACAAAAAAAATTTTCATTTTTGTTTTAGTCGGTTCAGTATGTTGGAAACATTACATGGTGCTTGGCATTTTTTTAGCATTCTCTGGTCATTTGTAAATACTGATAATTTATAAAGAAATTTTGCTCATGCTTAATCACGTATAACTATAAACATAATAAGGAAAAAAATACAAAGCTCTACTCAGTCGACAACAGCATCGAACTGTTTGTTCACTTTCAATGAACATTCATAAGACAAACAGTTTCATCTTCTGCAAAAATTAATTGTAAATTAAGTGATAGAACACTTTAACAACACCACAGCAAACATCTGATACTGTTATACACTACAACAAGCTTGAAAAATACCAATCCGGCAAAACAGTCATAAACAAAAGCTGCCAAATACTCTTTTTTAAACTCCGACAGTAACAACAATGTTACGTTTATTCAAATTAGTAATAGTACATAAAACAGACAGCAGTCAAGAGTTCAAAATAAGCTCAAGCAGTTGATAAA